GGGGGCTGGGGCGGGCGAGTGGGGTTCGCCCCCGGGCCCGCACAGACACGCACACGTGGGAGCCTGCGTCTGGGGCTGGGCGGGGAGCGGCCCTGCGCCCTGACGCGGGGGCGCCGTGAGCCGGGGGCACTGCGGAGGCTGTCGCGAGCCCCTCGGGGAGTCTGGCCCCCGGCCCCCGCCCCGCACTAGCGCACTGTGAACTGAGGGCTGCGCGCCGCCCTCGAAAGTCCGTTTTCTGTTGGCGGAGGAGACGTGTCTGTAGCTCGCACTCCCTGTGTGACTCTTCTATTATTTTTTCCCTGCGCTCTTCCTTCACCTCCTTCCTCCTCCTTCGCATATAAATCAGTTTCAGCTCCGGCATATGTCAGCCCAGGGGAAGTTACATACATGGTGGTTACTCATTTATTTGCCTATTGAAAACGGTCAAAGGCGTTCACTCCTGAGTGAGGGGGCGGGGGGGGGGTTGTGGGGGGCGAGGGGAAGGAGGCCTCCCACCTTGGAGTGAAAAGTTGTTTCTGACTAGCAGCGGCTGCCTTTTAAGATCAGATATCCGCGTGTTTCCAATCGCGTTGCAGGCTCCTTTTTTGTTTGACAGCGAGGATTGTTCTGCTCTCCGCTGAGCTTTGTGCACCACGGTGCGGAGACTGACGATGGCAGAGATTAGGTTAGTGGAATCTCTGCTTGAGGGAACCACAGAAAGTGGGTGTCGGCCTTGAACCCTCCAAGCACTCCTGCCACCGCCTCGGGTGCTGGTGGGGTTTGGGTCTAGAGGAGAGAAGTGGGAGAGTTCTTTTTATCTGGCTAATGGGCAGGTCTTGATAAGCACCCGTAAAAAGTGGTTCCCTGCTAGGGCTGACGTTGGGGTGATGATGCTGTTCCGGGGCATCCCTGTGTGTATGATCAGAGCAAAGCAGCCTTTTGGGGGAGCAGTGAGGAGAGCCCACAGGCGCCTTCTGCTGCTCAGTCCTTTCCTTTCTACTGCGCCGGCACGGTTACTCTGAAGCATTCTTAAGCCTGTACGTGTTTGTTTATTATGCTGGCATACAGAAAAGGGAGGTGGCACTCTTCGGATAAAATGGGTCTCGATAGAGAAGCCCCACTTAATAAAGCCTTCACGTCTGAGATTTTCCTTAAATACACATTTATGTATGCCTGCAGTTTTTGGAGTTTGGACACTTGGGAAATCTGTGTGGCCTATCTGGTTTGGAGGCGAGTGGACACTGAGTGGAGGGGACTCTTAGAGGGACGGGACTTGACCAACTGCATCGTGAGAAGATGCTGGGTGAGAAGGCTTCATTTGTCTGGAATGCAAATGCCTCTCACCTGGTGTTAAGTCCCATTTTATAACAAGTTTTATTTCTTGCTTCAGGAAACTTGGCCAGGAGATTATCTTCTAGTAGAATTGTATGTGTTTGACGTTGGAAATTCTGAATTACTTGGACTAAAAGATGCATCTTTGAACCCTGCCACTTGAAGTGTGTAAATTACTTAAGCCAGCCTCCCATAAATCTGAAAAGAACAAGGTGTATGAAATGAGGGTAAATGCATTGGAAACTGCTGTGCCTGAGAAACACCTTTGGAGGTTATAAAGATCCTCACCCTTGTGTGTATAGATTTCTGGTGAAGGAACAATGGGGGTTCAGCGAGCATTCACAGTAAGCTGGTGTTTTGGCAGCTGTACCCCCCTGTCACAGTACAGAGTTATTTTAGCAGTTTGTCGGTGAGCCCTTCCTTCCTCTGAAAGATGCCATCTCTCATGGCTTCTATGCTTCTGGTAACACCCCATGCACTTGGTATTGGCCTTGAAGATGCTTGGGAGTTATTTGTTGCCAATGGTCCTATCTCACTATTTTCTGGAAAGACTACTTTGCAGGCTTGTTTTCAGCTAACAAAATTGTATGTTAGGGTACTTTTAATTTTATCATTTTAGAATTCTAAAAGCAGTAAACTGTTTTCCTAATCAGTGACACCAAAGAAAGAGCTATTACCTGTCATGAGATAATGGTTGGATTTAATACCATTAAATCATGTGTTAAAAAATTTTAAGGATGTTCTATTTGCACATTATCTTGTTTTCCATAAATCTTGTAGCAATCTTGTAGCAATCTTTTTCCTGTATTTGAATGTCTTTGTCAGTAGTAATCTTAAAAGGTGCGACTCTTGTTTTTGTGAGAAACCACTCAGTGAGTGGCCAGCTTTTCTGTTTCCATTTTTATTCAGAAATTCATACAGTGAAACAGTTACGATAAATAACATGAATAGGAATAGGTTTATTTTATTCACATTGAAGTCTTCCGCTGCAATTTTTGCACTGAAATGACCCCTACTGGTTGTATCTGTTAATGAAAACTTGTTTAATTGGCTGCATTGAGAAAGCATGGCATGGCATAGAAATATGACTAATCTACCTGCTTTCAATCATTTAACTACAAATTGCACTGGTCTCTTTGCCAGCTTGTGCTAATTTTTTATTTGTGTTACTCCCTATTCTGGCATTGTTGGGGAAAAATGCCATGTTTATAACTGAACAAAGTTCACAAGTAAGTTAGATAAAGCTGGGGCAGAAATGGACCTCCTTCCAATTTGTGGCTCACATGTTGGGTTTTAAGGCAGGTGGGCCTGTAGTAGGCTCTGAATAAGTGTGTGTTGAACAAACTGAGGGCCAGACCTGTCCATAGAACACTGAAGAAAAAAATATTTCCTGAAAATTAAATAATTGAGTTACATCCCGTGAATCATGCAACATGTACATTTGACTTCTTTTCAGCATCCTTGGGGTTGTTAAGTAAGTCGTGATTTAATTATTCCCTAAAAAGTTGTGGTTTTTTGGCTAAATGCATTTTAGGAATTGAACCCAGGGCCAGATGCCTGACATCTCAGGTGTTCTCTATTCATCTCAAAAGGGTTTCCTGCCCACTGGGAGGACCCAAGTTGCTTCCACCTGTTGAGTTTTCCTGTTGGTCTTTACAAAATCATATGTGGCCTATTTTCTTGCCAGCTACCTGCCTCCAGGTGAATTGCCTAGGAGCCAGAGAAACAAGTTTGGATTCTGAATTCCTGAGGAAGAATACTAGATGGGAGGGGGGGGCGGTACTGGGAAATCAGAGTTTTGAAAGAGTACTGAAATGGAATTTTCTAGGAAAAATGTTTTGATTGGACAGTGAATTATTTTGAGATAGAGGAGTGAGGACTGAGGGAAGCACATTAAGCTTCTGGAAGGTTGGGGGGTGGGCAGGGAAAGCTTGACCTCACTTCTGAGTAATGAAAAGGCAGAGGATGGCTGGAATGGGGCTGTGTGTGAGGACAGAGTGGTTTGGAATCGAGTGGACACTTGAGTGACTTTACTCTGAGAATATTATTGTAACTAGATCCAGGTGATTGCTATTGCAGATAAGCACCAACTTTTCTCCCCCAGTGAATATTTTCTCAGTGGCTTCATCTTTATGTCACTTAACCGTGTAAAAACTGCTTTTTTAAACTTAATCCTTTTATTTCCCTTGGATATTGTCATTTTCCTTTCATGTAGTTTTCATGGGGCAGCACGATGGAGAATAAGGTACATAGTGAGTACTGACAGAAGAGAATGTCATTCTCTGAAATGGTTGTTTTAGACGCTGTAACTCCTTTTCTAATCACTCAGTGGCCTTGATGGCTGTTGGAAGACATGTGTAGAGGGTGTATGGGGATGCCCCCCCAATGCAGGTCATGGGAGGTCAGCTAATGCACCAGGACATTTGTGCAGGAGCCACGGAGGCTTCCTCTCTTGCTCTGCTGGAGGGAGCAAGGGTAAGAGTCCATGGATTTTAATTTTTACTCATTGAATAGAATGGGGGCAAAATTAATACTCCCATATTGACATTAGAGAAATCAAAAGCCCAGGTTCTACACTTGACTAGTGGCTTCATTTTCCAGCTGAAGTCTCTAGGTAGAGTGAGCTCTTCAGTGCCAGAGAGAAGGAAGCAGGGCCTATAAAATCACTGTTAATAGGGCATGGGAAGAGAAGCCAATGTAAGTAAACAGGGAAATAATTATTTCCTTCCAAAAGTAAATATTGACAAGACATGGAGAGGCTATTCACTGTACGTATACAAATGACGGACCTGATGACCTTCACTCTATCAAGTAACAGAATTCTCACTCTTTCGGGGGGAGTCTAGTCACATAAAACACTTGGCAAAGGGCAGATGAATTGCATAGTATCAGATAGACAAAAATAGCAAGTCTAGAGATAATTGCTACGCTAGCACATATTTAACAATGACCTGGTGAATCTATAAGCTATGTGTTGGCAGTGCAGTTGTGAACAGATTAAGAGTTGTTCAGTTTTCTTAAGTTAAACTATGGACATTGCAGCCATCTTCAGTGACTTTGTGCAGGTTTCTTTGTTTTGTGTAGCTTAAGATGTGATGATCTGGGTTTCACAAGAGAACAGCTTGGGGGACCCAGGGGGTGGGTATTGTGAGTTTAGGGGCAAATAGATGAAATACATGATGCTAAAAAGATAATGGAAAGGAAGACTAAAGGATGATGAATGGGAGAAGAGAAAAATACTGAATCCATCTTAGAGCAACTGTGTGTCCTTTGAAGAATAATCCAAAACACATTCCAGACATGAATTGTGAAATTCCTGAAAGTATGTGGGTGTGTTTAAAGTCTTTTAGGCTGTGGTACTAACATGAGAGATGGTCATACAGTTTTAGCATTTAAGTAACATAAGGAAGGAGGTGGTAAATGAGTGAAAGGTAAATTTGGTAAAGCAGGTTCCTGTGACTCTGTTCCT